AAAAGCCCCCGTTTAATTAAAACAGCAGCCACAGTGATAAAAAGTACTGAAGTTGCGCTCAAGATAACTAGGGTGACTTCTTGGTTTTATTTCGCTGTCACTGTGGGCTTGAGAACATCAGACTTCCTGAGCCTACCTATAAAATGCAGGTTTTTGTTTTTCCTTTTGTAAATGTTTCAACAGCTTTATTGATGTATAATTTATGTATCATAAAATTCATTCTATAGGTATATTAAAGAGTTGTGCAGTCACGCCAATTTTACAAGGTTTTCATCTGTTGTAATTACTGTTACTGTTTTTTTACTTGAATGATTTTCTTTATATGAAACTCAGAATAGGTAAATCTATAGAGACAGTAGCTAGCTTAATTGTTGCCTACAGCTATAACAAAAGGATGCTGGGGGAAACAGGGAGCTAATAGTAATGGATGTGAGAAAGATGACTTTACTATAATCTTTACTTATTATCGCTGTACAATTGCATCTACTGGACCTGTGGTACTGTGTTAGGGGCTGGTATGCCCTGACAAGTCACTAAAGAGTCAGAGGATTCTCAGGTCATGCTAACAAGCATGAGGACATTTGCTTTCATTTCATTATGGGGAGAAGAGCGGCTGGGTTTAAAGCAGTCTAATATTTGAAGCTGCCAGAATGACCTCAGAAGAAGGTGAATAATTTACTGGAAGATAAATGTTAAATTAAGGCAAAATCAGATAAAGGAGGTGCAGCATAGGGTACATACATATCAAAAAATCCCCTAAAACGACATCTACAGCAGTTTCTAGCAGCTTTGCAGTAGCAGCTGTGATGCTGAAGGCGAGGCAGCCTTCAGGCAAAGGGACCAGTTGTGGACTGTATTAACCTGCAGGCCAGTTTTGCCTTCTGTGTTTCTGTGTAAGAATAGCTACCTAATACCTTACCAGAAACTTTACATACAGATAAAACTCCCTCCCCCACACCTTCCAGTGGGTGCCCATGCCCAGGAACCCTACAGGACAGGGAGAACTGCTCTTGGCATTTTTGAGCCGGCCTTTCTGAACAAGAGAGATCCCTGTCTGTCCCACAGAGCTGAGACTGGTCTGGCTGACCTTGCGGGTTAGCAGCCCAACGTGCAGCCTCTGCACCGCTAGAGCGCTTGACATATGCCAATGAAAAAAAGTCCAAATCAGGAAATGCTGCAGTGTGGACGGACCACTTGTCTGTCCGTGTGTCTGTCGTTCTGGGGCGGCTTGTGTGCTGCTGTGATGCTGGAGGATATGTCACTGTCACTGGGATTTCCAGCATCACCGGCAGGGCCACCCAAAGGGAACAGGTTTCAGCGGAGCTTCCAGGCTAAGAACAGACCATGAAGAACTCCCTCCCCACTTCGGTGAAGGAGCCGCTGAAAACCTGCCGCACAGCTCTGAAACATTGTCTGAGCCCGAAGGCCTGAAGAGTGGTAACAGAACCTTGTCGGAGCTGGTGCCGGAGGGGGGGCCCTTGGGTCAGAGGGCACTGGAAATATGACTGAGGAGGAGCTGATTTCTGAGAGGAGTCGCCATGGTGACACGCCAGTCCAGCAACGCCTGTGGGAGTGGAGCCTTCAGGAGCTTCATTCAAGTCTGCTGATGTCTGGACCCTGGACTGTCAAAGCATGAGTCTAGGAAAAACCGAAGTGGTCAAAAGTGGATCAACACTGGAGGGAGGGTGAGGGAGAAAGGGGGAACCGATCACAAGGATCTACATATTCCCTCCTCCCTGGGGGACAGACAACAGTAAAGTGGATGAAGGGAGACATTGGACAGTGTAAGATATGACAAAATAATAACTTATAAATTATCAAGGGTTCATGAGGGAGGGGAAAAATGAAGAGCTGTTACCATGGGCTCAAGTAGAAAGCAAGTATTTTGAGAATGAGGATGACAACAAATGTACAAATGTGCTTGACACAATGGATGGATGGATGGTGATAAGAGTTGTACGAGCCCAGCAAAATGACTTTTTTTAAATGGATCGACACCATGGCTCCAACAACACGGCATTGATTCATTCTGTTGTTGGCAGGGTTGCCAAGCCCGGACTGACTCCACATTGCTCTGGGGATGCTGGGAATTCTGCGACTTTCATGTTCCTCTCCCCCACCCACTGCTCCTTCTCTCTCAACTAGGGAGAAGAGCAGAACAAGTTGCATGTACGGAACCAAATGTCAAAAGTCGCAATCACTTTTACTTTTCTTACCTGCACTTACTGTGCACCGCCATGCGCTCAGTCGTTCTCCACGAAATGAACCCTGTCGATGTGGACGCCCTCACATCACGGCATTCCCGAGGGGATTGCCAGGAAAGGGAGTCCTCAGGGAGGAAGACATTCGAACGGGCCACACGAGCACGGGCGTCCACCTGGCCCTTCATGCTGTACCCGGTGTCCATGACTGCCCAGCGCTGTCATCAAGAGGTATGGAGTTTCTTTTCATTTTGAATCGCACGTGCAGCTTTTCCATTTCACTTGCCAGGTTCTTCTCCTGGGCTGAATGCTCACTTGGGTACTTGGCCTACACGACAAATTGGTAGTTCTTAAGAGAAAGGGGAATGGCTATAGCGCTTTTTGGAATAGTTGGCCAGCTTTTGTCTGTGATGTGCCAAAGTCCCGTCCCCATCCCCATCCCACCCCCACCCTGAGGGATGGTCAATCATGGGCTGGGTTAGACCATTATCACCCTGCCCAGGAGCCCACTGCAGCTCACTGGCTCCTGAGAGCTGCCGAAGAGTCAGTGTCCGCTCCTGGTGGCCCCACGTGAGCAGTGCAGAAGCACTCCACACAGGTGTGCAAGGCTGGGACCAACCGGAAGCACAGCACCAGGCCTCAGGAGCAGCCAGTTTAACTGTTTGCACCACCAGGGCCACCTGTCTGCTGCCTTTACCCAAAAGGGAAATCACCAAGAATGCAATTAGATTTCCAATAACTAAGCCTTACAGTTCAATTAAAAATACTGTACAACGTAAGGGGGGGAGCGGGGAGGGAGGAGGAAAAATGAGGAGCTGATACCAAGGGCTCAAGTAGAAAGCAAATGTTTTGAGAATGAGGATGGCAACAAATGTACAAATGTGCTTGACACATGGCCGTATGTACGGTAATAAGAGCTGTATGAGCCCCCAATAAAACGATTAAGTAAAAAAACACCAAAAAATACTGTATGACAAATGTGCTTGATCCAATTGATGTAAGGATTATTGTAAGAGCCCCAATAAAATGATTTACGAAAATTAAAAACAATAGTGTGCGTACAGTTAACTGTCAAGTAACAAACGGTCTGTGGCCTCTGCCATACGCTGAGCACACTGAGTCACCCGATGTTCCCACTCTGTGGTCTCCACTCAGGAACGGTGACTCTTACAGGCAAATCCCAAACCAAACCCACTACCCCTGCGTCTGTCCGACTTGCGACGCTGTCGGGCAGGGCAGAACTGCAGGGGCGCGGTTCCAAGACTGTGAATGTTCACACAGAAGTGGGAAGCCTCTTCTTTCTCCTGAGTAAGCTGCTGGTGGTTGCCAACCGTGGACCTTGAGGATCTCAGCCCAATAGCACCCCCTAACATGTTCTCCCTGCTCCTTGCTCTTCCACATCACTCGCAGAGAACACAATCTCACCTCAAGGAACAAAACAGCTAATGGATACTAGGAGGGGGAGAGAGCAACCGAGGGAGACCCTGAGTGATTCCCACCTGCACGCCCGAGGTTCTCCTGGCCCAGCACAGGGAGAAATTGGAAATGCCAAGCAACAAAACATAGACAGAAGCACGAATCCATAATTTACAGACCACACCAAAATAAGTCACAGTTAAAAACATGCCCTCCAGTGGAAGTCTGCTTTGGATGCAGACACGTGGGAGGTGAGCGAGCGGGACAGCTGGTGCATTGAACAAGGGATGGACTGGTAGGAACAGAGGAATAAATGTAAACCGAACAGCTCATAATGACCCTGTGGGACAGAGTAGAACTTAGAACTGCCCTGTGGCTTCTGAGACTGGAACTGTTTATTGGGAGTAGAAGGCCTCCTCTTTCTCCTGAAGACAGGCTGGTGGTTTTGAACTGCTGACTTTGTGGTTAGCAGCTCAGCATGTAACCCACTATGCTGCTGGTGGCTGTGGCTAATGCATGCGTGAGCCCCCCAGCTGCTGTAGGAGAAATAGGCAGCAGTAGTTTCTGTTTAGAAACTGGGTAGGCAGGGCTGCCTGGTCCTTCCGGGACACTGAGTCGCAACCAATTGAATGACAATAGGCTTATCATTATGTGAACTTGCCTGAAACTATAAGTTGAAAAAAACCAACAAACTTAAATGGAAGCACCTTATCTCTAGCCGCACATGCTGAGCACTTATTGAGGTTGCTCTCCTTTGGAATAATGAAATATTAAATGTCATAAAAAGGAGCAGCTGACCCACAGCCCTACAGAGGACAACACCGGAGACACAGTGTGGGAATTGCCACCCAATCTGATCCCGCCACACCGAGGCAAAAACTAAGGGGGTGCAACAGAACAGCAAGGGAAGGGAGTGGCGAGGTCCTTAGGGAATGCTGAAGGTGGACTTTGGGGCCAGGGCGTGGTGCCCCAACAGACTGGACTGGAAAACATTCCTAAAGGCCAACAAACAGTCCTTAAACTAACTACAAGCTTTTCTTTCTTGTTGTGTTTTGTTTTTTTGTCATTGGTTTGTTTTGTTGTATATTGTTGCTTGGTTTTGCTCTGTCTTGTTTTTGTGCATGTTATTATCTC